CATCCTTATGATGGCGGTGAGAGCTTGGCTGCAGTCCCTGAGCATTCAAAGACATTCTCCTGGGGGAACTGCTACAAGTTTTTATTTTACCTGCCTAGAAATGTTCAGTTTAATCAAAACCTGTTTTACCAGTAGAAGTGGGAAAGTAAAAACCAAGGAGGAGATCAATCAAGCACATTGATGCTGGCCTCAACAGAAAGTTTGCTTCCCCCACAACCAAAGAGTCAGAGAGGTCATGGTGACTGAGCTGATAATAGGTAAAGCAGATTTCCACAACTAATGCTTAAGGGAGCCATTAAAAATCCATACAGCCCACATAATCTAAGAAACAGATGAGAAAACAAAGCAGATGCCCTGATTGGCAGGAATGTGACTATAAGCTCACTTTTTATGGTTTTATAAGAAAAACAAACCACTGTAACATTGAGGCTTGTGGTTAAACCAGGTTGTGAAAAGCAAGCTTTACAGTTTTGCAATCCTAAAGTGCAAAATGATGAACAAATAAGGTTTTATTTTATCATGTACGTGCATGTGAAGATGTGGAATAATACGGTGTCTGTGTAGTGGGGGAGGGGGCATCTATGACCACCAATCAAAAGACACCATGCAATTGTTCTTTCCTTGGTCTTATTTGGTATAGAAAAAAAGACTAAAGAAGTAGTAGAAGCAGATAGGAGTATTACAAGTAGAAGAGAATTTTGTCTGGATGCCCTACAAAATTCTAAAAATTAGGTAGGTTGCTTGCTGATTAAAATCTTGTCTGGAAGTATGTTCAGATTTCTTCAAAAGAGGCTAAAAGAAAAGCCTAGTCTACATAGAGCTGAGTAGTGTTAATTTTTTTTAAAATGCATCTATTTATATATAGACACAAACAAACTTGTTAGATACTACTGCTAAATCCAGAAGTCTTTCAAGACGTGTGTTTGAATTCCAAAGGAACTAGCCCTTACATTTGTGACACTATATTGAAAAGATAATGATTTGGCTAATGTGGCTATGCTTGGGAAATTCATGAAAGATCATCCAATCTTTTTCCCTAATTCAGGAACTGCTGGAGATCAGGCCTCTGTTTCCTTTGTCACCACTGGTGCTGTTGGTCCTTAGCTGCAGACAATGCAAGCAAGACAAGAACTCACAAAGCATCTCAGAATCTTCCTGGCTGGGCAAATACAGTGGAACCAGAAAGCCATCCCTTGACACTGCTCAGTATTTAGGCAATTTTGGAGATGATCTCTATTCCAGTTTGTTCTCTCCACCACAGACTACATGAGTTCTTTTCCTGTCGCATCTGCCTGTTATTTGTCCCAAAGAACCAGCCTGTCCTTATCCATGAGTTTTTGACATTACATTTACTAAGGAGGATGAAGCAGGCAGCAGGTTACCTATAAACTTTTCCCTTTAACATATTTTCTGCATCAAGATAAAAATAGAAGATATGGTGAGAAAACATGGGAAGAATATCAATGGAAGACAATATTATTTGGATCCCTGCAAAACTTCTTTGAAAGTCATGGACCAATTGCTCAGTAAACACCTTGCTTGGAAGGATCCCATCTCTGCTCTTTGTGAGCCAAGAACAAACCCCTTCCCACCTCATCAATCTGACAATTTACTGGATCTGCTCCCAACCAGTAGTTTAGTGGCAAATTTAAAGCAGGGAGTCCCTTCATAATAGTCAGAGCCATACCTCAAAGCAATGCCCCCATTGAAGGCTCATATCCAAAGACACACCTAAGATTATGCAACCTATTATAATACAATAAAAATGAACTTTGTCACTTCGTTTGAATTTCTGCTGAGTAATGAATGCAAGATGGAGGTGAAAAAACAACAGCTTCTAGAAGTTGTTTCTTATTATCTTACTGAGTATGAATAAATGATTTTTAAATCACATTCATGCCCCGCTCTCCAGCCAAAAAAATCCCTGGAGTGGTTTGTGTGGAATTAATAAGGCAGTTACTGTCCACAGGGTTACTATCTAAAAACATAACGCTACAAGAGGAAAGGAACATGGAGAGAAGAGGAAAAAGGGAAACTCGGGCACTAATTATCCAAACTTATAGAAACATATGTACTTATAGTCTCCCCAGAGAAGCAGCCTGGACTGATAATCACTGTTTGGTTTCTTTTAATTTTTTTGTAGCCTCTGCTTTTGTGTGCATATGTGTGGGAGATCATCAATTAGTTCAGAGTTTGGGGGAGCCAGTTTCTCCAAATAGCCAACAATCATTCATTGTGCTCTCATTGGATCCAGGATGAATCATGTGTAAAGTAGCCCAGCTGAAGCAAGAGAAACTTAATGCTATCAGAATTCATGGCTATTTTTTTCCCACTGACTCCAGTAAATATACTCCAATTATGATACTTTTATTCTACTTTAGCCATTATTTCTCCCCTATAATTCCAGGGCTAAGAGTTGCTAGAAAACACCTGTTGGCCTCACAGAGCTACTATTTGCAGAATGCTTTCTCAGTCAATCCCTCTTCGCATTACTCTGGAAACTGAGCCTGTGTGAGGAAGAGGCGAGAGGAGGGTTCACTAATGACACTCAGTACCCTTGGCAAACTATGGTCCCCAAGATTGTTTCGGCAAGTAGTGACTGTTTAGAGTGGAATGAAGGTGTTCTAAATGTGTGGTGTGAATGCAAGGAGGATGCGAGGTAGTTTTTGGAGCAGAAAAGGCAAGCTGATCACATGTTGCTGAGGAACAGAGACTGACCATGGGCTAAAGTGCCACAGAAAACACATGTGCATGCCTGGCAGGCCTCTCCAGATAGGAAATTCCCAGGAACTGTTGGGAACTGTTGAAAAAACATCCCTCTTCCCATCAAATTTCTAGTCAACGTTGCAGCTACAGACTTCACTCCTATGAAGGAAAATAATGTGATCAATCTGTTCAGTTGCTATGGTGTTCTAAGAACCAACCCCTTTCTTTTGCATCTAAATTAATGGAGTTATACTAAAGACAGAATTGATCCTTTTATTTTCTCTGGCCATGATTATGCATCTGAAGTTCAAGCTGCCAATTCTTTATGGCGCAGCAGTAGTACTGAAAATCCATTGCATATACAGTTATGCTATCACCATAACAGTTTGCATGGTGCTTTAAAGCCTACAAGAGGCTAGACCCCTGTATTGAAGAGTTTGCTGTATAAAGTTTGATGCAAGGAAGCAACAGAGGAAGGGGAGAAATTTGATTATTTCAATCGTGTGTGCTTAGACTTGGTTGCATGTGCAGTAGCAGTCAGCGCAGATCTTCTGGATCCAACTGCACATGATGAGACTCCCTTTGCTGGGAAGTTTCATGATTTCCCCAACCAGACAATGACTTTTTTTAAAAATAAAAAGCAGTCATAGAAGGCTGAAGGCAGGAGCAGACATCAAGGATTGCTTAATCTTGTCTGTTATGCGTTTTTGTCTGCTCAAAACTGTTGCCTCTCACTTGTCAGGGGAAAAATATAGGATAAGAAAAATGGTGAGACCACCCATCATTCCCTCACTCGTCCTACACTCCCATTTTAAGCCTTCCATGGCTGCCTTTCTTTTCTTTTTAATGTTGACTGTTACATGTTGTTCCATCCCTTTTTCTGCTGAAGAAATATCTATTAATTTCATCTCAAAGCTACTTCACTTCAGGAATGTTAAGTACAAGTGTATGATTCGTATGAAGATCTCTTCTAAAGTCAGATGGAGTTTTAAGGATCTCCTAGTTATAATTGCAATGTTAAGATAGGAAGAACCATTCCTGCTAAGAAAAATTGGGCTGAAGTTGCTATGGTGAACATAAGTTTTAAACAGCTCCTTAATTTCTTTAATTTCTATGAAACCCAGCTCCAATATGTTTAGATGCAACATTCTCTGCGCTGGGAACCTTCCCCTTCCTCTCCATCCCTGATATTATAGGAAGTCTTCTAGTTCAGTAATTAGGTGAAAGAAACACTGAACATGCTCAGGAGTACTTCCATCTGTTCCTGTGTTCCACGGTTAAGCTTTGGGTTTAGAGACAAATGCTGAGGCTTTGGCTTTACCCAGATTAGGTCTTACTCCTTTGCCTCTTTCTAAGGGTAACGAATAAAACAGGTTTCCAAATGAACTGGGCTGCACCATTGTTTACTTCAATGTCCGCTGTTTTACATGAACAGCACAAAAGATGGAAGGGAGATAAAATGCATTCAGCCCGGTTTTTTGTCTGACAACGAGGGAAGATTTTCTTTTCAATAACAGTTCTAGCCATTCTAGGTAATAGGCTTCATGCGCGCCTATCTGTTTTGCAGTGACACGAGCTTTTGCAATGAAAGCAAAGGAAGAATCCCACTGTTGTTTTAGCAGTGATACTTTGGACGCTGCCACTTGATTTCTTTTCCAAAGGAAGAGAGCCTTTCACCACCACCTCCTGACACTTGGCATATGCAACGCCCAGTTCCTAAAGGCGGTTTTACCCGGGTGGAGGGATCTGGGAAAAGATGACCGATCGCTTTCCCCCAACCCCGCCCTGACAAATAAACACTCCACCGCACGCCCACGCACCCAACCGCCCACCCACCCACCCACCCACCAGCAAAGCAAAACACTGTACTATTTTTGGCAACAAGAAGAAGGCCTCCCCCAGGAAAAGTGAAAGCTGGGTATGTTCTCAGTTGCGTCACTTTGCAACCTAAGGCTGCGTTATGCTCAGTGTTTTTTGCGGTGATGCGAGTCCTCTTTCCTTCTACAGCTGCTTGGATTTCCCCGCACCCCCATATCCCTCCCTGTCTTCCAGCACCTCGCAGGTCCCCTCTCGGAGCAGTACGCTGCCTGAGTGAATTGAAAGAAATATACGGATCAGCTGCAGGTTTCTAGCTACAAAAACACAATCAGAGGGAGAGAGACAGAAAAGGGGCTGGAAACAAGAAACAGAGGGAGAAAGAAATATTGCTTGGTCTCATAGAAAGACATTCAACGCCTGAATAAAGAAAAAAACCTGTTCATGTTCTGGGATATTATTCTTTGAACTGGCTGCAACCAGAGTGGATTAAAAGAATGGGAAATGCCAGCAAACGCTTTAGAAGAATTGTTTCTTTCCTATGCATTTTATCTGTACTGTTGCTGATTGAAGGCAGCAAACCAGGAAAGCCAACATGTCCTGCGTTGTGTACTTGTACCAAAGATAACGCTTTATGTGAAAATGCCAGAGCTATTCCACACAGCGTTCCACCTGATGTTATCTCACTGTAAGGGCTGTAAGCATTTGGTTCTTTAATTTGTATTTAAAATAAAGTCAGTTTGTGTGGGGTTTACAGCGGTGGCTGGAAGATGCCTGCAGCAGCGAAACCCTCCAGCATTCAAAAACAGCCGCTGGAGGTGGTGGTGGTGGGGAGAATGCTAAATGTTGTCTCTCTAAATGTAGCTACGGCATCTTTTTACACAGTTGTGTTTTTTCTGAGTGATGTGAAACTTATAACATCCTTTAAAAAACAAACGAAATATAATGCCAAGTGAATACTGTGAAAAATGGTCCACGGAGGTAGTAATGACTATTTCATGAGCTTATGTTGATGTAAGGTCTGTTTTCTTTTTCTTCCAGATCCTTTGTGAGATCTGCTTTTACTAAAATTCCAGAAAGGAGTTTTGTCTTCTCACCATCTCTGCAACTTCTGTGAGAAAGATTTAAATCCTGATTACTTGTTATGAAACGTGTATCTCAAAGTACTAAAGTAACAGGCTTTGATACTTGTTTTATAAGATACAGCTAGTGCAGATCTATTATGTAACAAAATGCACCTAGTGTTTCCAGTAAAGGTAACTAAAGGTGTCTCAACCCTAAGCAGTTCATTTTAACTGTATAGTTGCTCCTCTTTAGTTTTTATTATCATTATCTTTATTATAAGTGCATTTACTTGGGAGTAGTAATTTGTTTGGCTAAATTATGATACATGATTTTGATATGTGTGCTACATTATGTTCTCATTCTGGATCCCTCAGTCACATGAACTTCAAAGGCCTGAAAATCATAATGGGCCATCATAATTAATTTTTGACACTTTTACAATTGCTACTGGTAAGATGTTAGAATTGTTGCTGACTAAACAGAGGGGGTCCTTTCAGAATCAAGAATGAATTATTTATTTATTTCATTCTACTTCTGTGCTGCCCCATAACCCAAAGATTCTCTGGGTGGCTTAAAAATGCTGAAAACAGCATATAAATACTGAATGGGACAATTCTGCAAACAAAACTCATACTATTCACATTGGTAGATGTTTCACATTTCTTTGCATTCTTTGCATTAAAATCTGAATTTATCCCTTCTTCTCCTTTTCAAATTGTAAAAAATGGAAGGAAGTTGATGGGTTGTGCCATAAGTATAGCCCAGAAATATTTCTCTGGTGAGGACATTTTGATTCAGAAGAGAAATTTGCACTTCTGTTAAAAAAAAAAAAAGACACATGGACCCGGTTCACACAGAAAGATGACTCAGAATATGGGTTGCTGTTGAATGGTGTTAAGTCACAGGTTGTTGTAGTATGTGAATTTTGAACTATAGGTTAACTGTGGGTTGCTGTGTTGTTCATACTTAACCCACAATTAACCCATAGTGCAGAGACCACATGTAATGAAACCCACCATTCAAAAATGCATGTTTCAATGATAATCCATACCGACTCTGAGTTTTCACTATGTGTGAATCAGGCCATAGAAAGGTATGGCACATAAACATGATAGATTAGGTTCAGAAATTGTCAAGAGATATGTTCTCTCATTTTTTTTCAAAAAGAAAATAAGGTATCTGTACATACATGCTTATATTTATAGCAGAAACAATATGAAGTGATCTAGTGCATAATTTGGCTAGGATAAGAAGCATTACACTCACTTTGATCATTAAATCAGTTTAGCTCACATGCCCATATCCTGATAGTTGATACTGGGACCCTTCCTCCTCTCATCTACTGTCACGAGAGCTGCTAAGAAAGCATGCTCAGAGTAAGGTTTTGAATCCAGGACAAATGAGTAAATATAGTTACCATGGAAACCTTTATGTTGTCCCTGTACACATTATCCCGCACAAGCTTTTTCAGAGTAATAGCATATTACAAAAAGGGCAAAATCTGCACATCCTCTGCATTGGGAAAAGAAGACAGTGGCAGTTTCTGTGCCCGGCTGTGTGCCTGTAAAGAGAAAGGAACATTTTGAGTTTGCCATTTAACTGTGGCACCCCACCTGCCTGCCTGCCAGCCAGCTCTGCAGCACACGGAACATGCAAGATGGCCCATCTCAGTCAGGAAGCTTCTCAGTGATGCTGCATGTTTCCTTAAGAGACAACATCTTGCTCTGGGGCCCTTTGCAGGTGGAAAAGCAGCTTACAAATTTTAACATAGATAAACAGAAGCATTTCAAACCTCATCTGCAAATTTAGAAGCATGGATACTGCTCTACGGAACAGCGTGGTATAAGAACAGATGCACTAGAACACGAGAAAGTGGTTAATGCCAGCAGGCACCAGTGTAGTTTTCTGGGCACCCACTATGGTTGCTTGTTATTCTTTGTTGCTTCCACACTCTGCCCCCTCCCCACACATGCACTCTAACCTCTTTCAATTAATATATTTTGTACTGGCACTGAGATCCCCTAGAAGCAAAATGGGTATGTGAAGTGAACCACTGTAGGATGGGTGTGTGGTGAGGTGTGTGTGTGTGTGTAAAAGAGAGAGAGAGAGTCCATGGGTAGTGATCTAGGGTAAGAAAGCAAAAGTAGGGGCAAATGAGTTAGCAAGCCAATGGTGGGCAGAAGAGTTTGCCTTCTGTGCAATCGGTTTCTGTGGGTGCGGTGATTTCAAAGGAGTTGCTTTGTGTGTTCAGCCTCAGATTCCCATCTTTGCCTTATACTCCATCTTTCAAGCAGGTTGCCTGTCTTGTATGATGAAACAGACCTCCCACTGCAGCCATACTGTGGTGATTTTCTAAGTGCCACATGTGCCATAGGCCTGTAAAATTTGCCTACTCCTATTTTAAAAGCAATGCAAGAGAAATATACCCTCTCTCACTGAACCCTTTGCATTTTTTGGTAGTAGATGCAATATAAGTTCCTGATTTTATTCTTTGTTGCTTGTGATCTTTTGGCATGCTGCATGGTTAATCAAAGAATAATAGGAAGTCCGTCCAGATTACTATTCTTGTTATTTCATTAGATTTATATCTCAGCTTGTTTTTCTTGTAAAAATCCAAAATGGCTTGCATAGCTCCATTTTATTCTCATAACAACAACCTGTGAGATGGCTCAGGCTGAAAGTCTGCAACTGGTCCAAAGTCACCCAGTAAGCTTCATGATCAAGCAGGGAATAGAAACCAGATCTTCTGGGTCCCTACTCCAACATTCTAACAACAGAACTGGCTGTCAGATAAGATTATGGCTTTTCATGCAATCCTCTGTATTATTGTCCTGTAACTTCTTCCTAAGTAACAACAAAAGGAAGGATGTCAAACTATCTTATGGAGAATGCAAAGTTAGCCTTTAGCAAAGTCATAGGATTGCTCCTTAACTGTTATTTTAAGTTCAGCTGAGGTTACACTTGGCTAGGACTCAGAAACACATGCAGAGCCTCCCTATGTGAAAGGGCTTCTCTATTCACTTGAGTGAAGCGGTCACTTCTGTATGCTCAGTCAGAGGTGGGAACAGATGTGCTGCTTTTGTTGAAGTTGATGGAAAAGTTCCTCCACAGAAGAACTCCACATGAAACTGGGAGCACAGCTGGAATGATCAAGTAGAAGCCATTTATGTATAGCTGCAATGATTCATGTTGTGTACCAGAAACAGAATTTTGAACACAGAGGGAAAGCCATAATAACCAGAGAATATTTTTGACTGCACAAAAACCAGCAATGTACTCAGTGTAGAAATATAGTAAGTAAATAGCCACGGAGTATAGATTACTGATAAACTCTCTTTCAAAACTCAGAATGAGCCTTTGTTAGTTTACTTAGTGCGGATCCAGAGCAGAATTCCTCAACTAAGTGTCATCCAGATCTTTTGTGCAACTCCTAGCATTCTGGGTTGCTGACTATTCTAGCTGGGGATGGTGGGAGCTGAAGTCAAACACATATGGAGAACACCAGGCTGATAAAAGTTGTTATAGTTTAAGTTTTATTCAAGGCTGATCTTTATTTTGTTTTTGTATAGCAATCATTCAGAATGTAACCTTTCAGACATACATTTTATTATCTCTAAATTTAACTAAACAACCAGAAAGGATCTGTGATCTCTTCTAAGGGAATGTAAGATGATGATGATGATGATGATGATGATGATGATGATGATGATTTCTCTCTACAGATTATTTACATCAAATACTTTTGACGTCATTAGTGGTGATGCCTTCATAGGTCTTCCTCATCTAGAATATTTGTGAGTTGATACATTTATGTTTCAAGATTTCTTGAGTGCATCTGAGATACAGGCATAGGTTAGACCAGACTGCATTTATGATCCCTTACAGGTTCATAGAGAACAACAACATCAAGTCCCTTTCAAACACTTCCTTCCGAGGACTGAAATCTTTAATTCATCTGTAAGTAAAAGTAGTCATCCTTATTACCATATTTACACAAGTAATTCAATGATATTTTCACATCATGAAAGGCTTTTGAGCTGATTATCTGGCTTGCCATTAATCAGCTGATTATGCAGTTAAACAGACAAATTGTTGATGTAGCAGTAAGAAAGCAATCCTGTGGTCCCTGGAAAGTTGTCCAAGGGGCCACAGGATATAACTGATTCCCAGCACCACCATACTTGAGGCCATAGACATAGCTACAACCTATCAGCCACAGCAGAAAGTTCCATGGTGGTGCCTCTTCGGAGTTTAGTGTTGCAAACTTGGTGAAAGGCAGGGAGGGAAAAAGGAGAAGGGACAGATCCATTGTATCCACAAGCGTCTCCATCCCCAACCCCATCCCCTGAACAAAGTAAGGAACATCTGAGAGAAATGTTTAGCTCAAATTAGCAGAAAGATGAGAATGGGAGGTAAAAGGCCAGTCCAGGTAGAAATGCATAAGGAGATTATTTAGCACTAATAATAACACTTCTTTTCACAGGAGTCTTGCAAACAATAATCTCCAAACACTGCCCAAAGACATATTCAAAGGATTGGATTCATTAACAAATGTGTAAGGAAGCTTTTTAATTTTTTACACTATGATATGAAAGTTAAGAGCCCATTGCTCAGCAGCAACTAGTTACCCCAGTATAAGTATTATCAAGCTGCTCATTATGGAGCATAACATGACAGATATTTTTCTTGCCCATTGAAATTATTACCATCAATTGCTTTGTCAATTTACATTCAGGCACCGACTGCTAGATACTTTCCATTTAGGTTCATTCCTGATGGCATGTATATACATGTGTATACTATACTTCAGGTAGTTCTGTTTTTATTACCAAATACCTCTCCAGCCATCCAAGTTTGAAATCTTTAAACAAACAGCAAAAACAAGATAAAAACAAAGTAAACAACAGTAGAAATTACTGTTGCCTACTTTATCAGTCAGCTGCAAAAAAAGCCCAAAATACTCCATTTTGAACTAAGCATTTTAGGTTGTGAAGCTGATTGGAATCAAAAAAAGAACATGGACTTATCAAAATAGCTGCACTTCACTTGCTTTTTTAGCTACAGCAATTCCCACTGCCGATAAAACCTGCTATTTTATACAGCACAGCAATTTGTCTCTTCAGAACCACAGCAACTCAGTAAGCAAAACTCTGCCCGGGATGCTTGTTCTTTCTTGCATGTCCCCTTACTGAATCCCAGACACTGCCCACAATTTAAAGAGACCTCTCTGCCAGGACCTGCACAGTGTTCGTTAACTTAAGAATATGTAACTATGAGTCTGGAAAATATTACATCAATTTATTATTTCATTTTCACTAGATACATTTTGTCTTGCAGAGCAAAATGCAAAAGCATAGGATGTTTTGTTTTCCTTATTTCCTCAAGAAGAAGTGGAACAGGAAGCATAGGAAGCCGCCTTATACCAACTCTAAGCCTTGGACCATCTAGCCCAGCATGGTCAAAACTGGAAGGGAGCAGCTCTTCAAGGTTTCTGGCATGAGCAGTTCCAGCTTTGCCTGGAGCTGCTGAGAACTGAGCCTGGGACCTTCTGCATGAAAGCAGGTGCTCTACCACAGATCCATGACCCTTCCCTGAGGAGTTTGGAGCATCTTTCCAGGGCCGGTTTCCTTCAGAGAAGAAAGCATTTGTGCTTTATAAATGGGACAGGCAATCAAAGTTTCCTGTGTATCCTAATCCTCTAACAGCAGCGTTCCTGTTCAGGTTCCAACCGTCCCGTCAGCCATGCTCCAGGGATCTTATGAGTTGTAGGGGGCTCAGGCAAGCCCATTTGCCCTGTCCCCTCAGTTTTCATTTTGAATATGGATTCAACATTTTGTGGCTTCTGATGAGCACTGAACATGCTCAGACCTTACTGGGCTGTTTCCTTTGAGGAGTTTGGACCAAGTGTCCTCTTTTGGAATATTTGGAAGATGTTTTGTACTTCTGTAATCTTCAAGGTTCTCCTGAGTATGCTGATACTCCCCTTTTGCTTCTCAGTGGCTTGGTTTGGTTTCCCATTTCTGTTGGCCCAGGGAAATTGAGTTCATTTTGTTGCTTTTGTTAGTGTAAATTGGCTGGTAGAGAAACAAAACTGGGCTGAATAACTGCAAACTGCTGTTGAAGTAGCTTTGTGTGTCTGCATGTATGCACTGGTGCGAGGTTGTCTGTGTGTATGTATCAGTGTGTCTGACTATCTCTGCATGTGTATGCATACATACTTGAGATATGCTCACCTACCCACGTCTTTTCTGGGTGCTTTACAGGAGAGTAGGGCTGTTCCCATTATCCCCCGCTACATTGCTTTGTTGTCCACTACCCCTTCACCATCACACTTTTGAAGTACAGTCTTTAAAGGGAAGCCTACTGTGTGCGTGTAGCAGAGGTGCTGAACCCTAGACCAGTGGGCTCAATCCCACCTGGGGACAAATATGGCACTCTGGGATTCACCGGTTGACTATGCCTCCTCTCTCTGGCTCCAGTTCCTTTCATCTCATTTGGTGGTCTCCCAGCTTTCATGCGCTTCTATTCCCCTCCCATTCTGTATGGTTCAACTGTCTTTCCTGAGTTTAACTGCTGGCAGTAAGAGTTTTCAGCTAAAATATGCTGGGCTTGGAGGCCTGCCCCTTTATTCTTTGGTCCCACCCCTTTTCCACTCTGCCCCCTCACTGGAACGTGCTCCTCCCAAATTTTGGATTTGGCATTTTGGCTGAAAGATGTTTATTATCCCAGAGAGCTTCAAAGGTTTGTCTGGGGTGTTGGGATTCAGATCAGAGTCTGCCTTTGCCTTGTAGTCAGTTGCTTGCACAGGTTACTTGTCCTTTGCCACACCTTCTGTGACAGTCGTGATGTTATGATGCCCAGCAAAATGGGTCCATACCCTAATAGGTTGCCCACCCTGCTGTAATCCCAAACACTCTGATTATAAGGAAGTTCCATCCATGGGACCAGCTACTGTGCTGTTTAAAACAGTAGGCTTTCTTCAGCAGTGGGAGTCGCAGTGGCTAAGCTAGAAAGACCAGGTTCACACAAAGAACAAGCAGTAATTAAGACACAGCAGCTTGTTAACTACTCTGAACTTACTGGTCAGGTGCCAAGTAGATTTCTATAACTATGTGACATGAATCTGGTTAGGGTGGCTTGTTGTCATGGGTAAAAAAACAAGCCAGAACACATGGGCTATTGCAGGGTTTGTGTGTGCCTGTGCCTATGCCTGCTTAGAATGCACCATGGCTTAACTACTTCCCAGTCAAGCAATCCCAACATGAGTGAACTGCAACTATGATCTCAGTTTTTTCTGATGTTCACATGTCCTTCTTTAATTCTAATCATTTTCTTAGTCTCAAAGGCTCCATTCAAAACAGGGTATTGTGTTTAGGGGCAGCTTTTTGATCAAACAGGCAAAAATAATTCCTACTTCAATGTATTTTGGCTCTTGATTTTTAAAATTATAATAGATGGAAAGAAGGAAAGCATTTCAAATTTGGAAGGATGGAGAAAAAGTAATTTGTATGGTACTTTAAGCCCAGGGTGACTATATAGCTTAAAGCTGCTGGGAAGAGGGGACAGCTATGCCTGACTAATGACTGGACACAGAGGAGGTCCTCAGACACTGCCCACCACCACACAATGGGACAATGGCATCAGGCAGGATGTTGCTGTTTGGCCTCACTTCCTCTTGTGCACCAAGACTAAGTGGCTGGTTTCTCCATCGGGTGCTGCCTCCCAAGGCCCTGAATGGGGTTTGAGTGGGCAGCACATAGTAGAGCCTGGCAGCTGCCCCCTGTGTTCCTACCAATGCTGGGCTGGGGAACAAGGATTGTTCATGAGTCTTTCCTTGGCATCCACAGGAGTGTGGAGAAAACTGGTGACAGCTGCATGGAGTGACACTTGGGCACTTTGCTGACTGTCATCAGCTACAGCCTCTTGGTCAGAGCCTCCTTTTGTCTCTCTAATAAAAGGGCTTTCTAGTCTTGCAGCTTGATTATGGCTTAGCATGTTCTCCAAGTTCAGACAGCACACAAACCATTGCTACTTGAGCTTAAAAGCCACCCCCAAGAAGCACCCCCAGGTTTTAAAAGCCACCACCCAGCTCAAGTGACATGCTAAGCCATCATCCCCCTCAGTGAGTTGAGGGAACCCCATTGTAGTTTGCCTTCCCAGGGATGGGAGCTACTGGAATGAAACTATGAATGAGCTTTGGATTGTGGGAAGGGATATTTTCAGTCATATCTAGGAGCGTATTTATGTTTGCATAATATAAGCCATGGGTCCTCAAACTACGGCCCACGGGCCAGATCTGGCCCACCATGCCCATTTATCCAGCCCGCCATTGAGGTTTTGGACTTGCCGCGCATGCATGCACTCACACACGTGCGTGACAAGGTGCAGCTTGCTCACAAGGAGATCGTTTTGGACTCACTCAGAGAAAACGATCTCTGCGCACGCACGCCCCTGCCTCGCTGCACGCAGGCGCGCACCCGCCCTGCCCAACCTGCATCCCTCGCCCGCTCTGCCTTGGCAACCTGCGCCCATCACCACCACCTTTCAACTGGCCCCCTGTTCAAAAAGTTTGAGGACCCCTGATATAAGCTATTGCTTAGTAAGCTGTGTATACAGACTAAGGAGCATAAAATGGGGAAAGTTTGCTGTTCTCCATTTTTGCAAAAGTGACAGACTGGCAACAATATTTGAAATACATATTCAACAATAATTGCAAATAAACAAGAACTAGGCAAGAAACATTTTAAAAGCACGTGCACTGCACCAACAAATGATCCAATTTCCCCCTACCCCTAGGGATCTTCGAGGAAATGCATTCAAATGTGACTGCAAATTGAAATGGTTAGTGGTGTGGTTGAGCAGAACAAATGCAACTGTAGAAGACATTTATTGTGAAAGTCCACCTGAATATAAGAAACGCAAGATCAACAGCCTCTCTCCTAATGAATTTGATTGCATTATTACAGGTAAGTCTTCTAAATACTTTATGTTTGTTGCATCGGCATATTTGTTGTATTTACATATTTCTTCAAGTAGAATTTTGTAAGGTGGTTGGACCCAAGAAGGTGCCCTATCCCAGGTCAAACTATGTGTCTGTGTAGCCAAGCCTTGTCTAACTTGTCTGGCAGCAGCTTTCTAGAGTCTTAGGCAAAAGTTTTTCTATTCACCCACTATATGCTAGAGATGCTACCTGAGTTCTGACTCGGACCTATGGTTTCTCCCCAGCTCCATTCCCCCCACCAAAAAAAGGATTTTCACATTTAAGTTCATTTTTCAGAGTTGATCTTTCAATCTTTACTTAGATCTTGTGGAGAATTTTAACAACTGTAACAGAAATAGCACACAAAATGTTGGTTTAGTCAACATCCATTCATTCCAGTGTGGACTTCAGCTAGGCAAGACTCAGAGGTTCATAGTTCAGATTTCTTGTGCTAGATAAGCCTTTCACAGCATGGTGCCATCCTGATGTTCTGGACCACAATTTCTACCATGGCCACTGGCCATACTGGCTGGGACTAATGGGAGCTGCTGTCCAAAATATTTTGGAGGTTCCTAGTTTGGAGAAGGGTGTGCTGGATTATTTGCCCAAGTTAGAACAAAACAGCTAGGCAAAGTCAAAGGCAGAAGAAAAGGAAGTTCCAAATAAGGGAAGGATTGACTCCATAAAGTAAGCCACAGTCTTGAATTTAGAAGAGCTAAGCAGGCATGTCATGGATAGAAAATTTTGGGGTGCTTCTATTCATAGGGTCGCCATAAGTTGGAGATTACGTACAAGCACACAACAACAACAACAACAACAACAACAACAACAACAACAGCAACAGAACAGAAAAGTGATATGGGGAATCCTTTTCAGTAATATTTCCCAATGAGACAAACTTCCCCCTTCTTTGGCAGATGACCTGAGACCAAACATAATCACATTTTACCAGCTATCAGACAGACTGTGGCAATTGGCAATCTTGGAGTAATGTAGTTCTGTTTCAAAGATCATGGTCACAGGGATTGGGCTCACTACTTCCAAAGATATTGAATCAAATCCTGAAGTGGAGGAGAGACTAGAATTCACAGCTAATTGCCAAGGCCTGCAGACCTAGAAATGAGCCAAGCAGTTCTTAAATGTTCTGTTAGAAGTTTAGTGAACTAGCTGATTGGGGAGGGGGGCAACAGTAGTAGTCTGATCTGATCATACAGGTTCAGATTAAGAGGGCAGACCAACAGAGAAGTGTCAGACACTCAAGGCAACAGGCCCTTAAGAAGCATGATACACCTTGGAGTAAGATCTTTTTGGTTTGGGAGGAAAGTATTCAGTTTAGAATCCATTTTGTATCATTAAGCCACATTTTCCTAATGGTCAATATTCTAACTTCCACTGTGTGTTTTGTGACTGATTCCTGCAATATTCTTGTTTTGTATCACAAAGTCAATCCAGCTTTAGGCTGATCAGCTTTAGCATAATAAAGACTTTAATTTAGAAAGCCTTTGTCCTGATCTGTTTGGAGAGAGGGAGAGAAGACTTGCCAGGGCAGTGGTGGTGAAAAATTGCAATTAAAAACAGCTTAAAGTTTATGCAACCACACGAAACATCTGTGCTATTTGGTTTTTAATAAAAAGTCAACTACTGTTTTTATTTATTGTCTAATTAGCAGCAGAAATGGACTTAAGGCAGCACTGTCTGTAAAAAATCTGAGTTTTTTTAAAACATAGCAAAGATCTCATCTGTTGGTATCTGATCTTTCAGAATTTGTTGTATTTCGCAAGCTACCGTATCAGTCTCTGTCAGTGGACAGTTTCTCCTACATGGATGATGAATATGTGGTCATTTCCCAGCCTTTTACTGGAAAATGTATCTTTCTTCAGTGGGACCATGTTGAAGGGACTTTTAGGAATTTTGACAACATTACAGGTATGAATAATTCATTTCTATGAACATTATTCTACATGATTTAAATGCCAATTGATGGTCTGTCTGTTCCATCTTTCTTTGTGCAGGGGCATCAGTGGTTGTATGCAAGCCCGTCATTGTTGAAAATCATCTGTACATCATTGTTGCCCAACTCTTTGGTGGCTCCCATATATACAAGAGAGACATCCATGCAAATAAATTTATAAAAATTCAGGATATTGAGATTCTCAAAATCAGAAAACCTAATGACATAGAAACATTCACAATTGCAAAGGAATCATATTTTGCAATTGCCGACAGTTCCAAAGCTGGCATCACCACTGTTTACAAATGGAATGGGAATGGATTTTACTCAGATCAGTCTTTGCATGAGTGGTACAGAGATACTGATGTGGAATACCTAGAAATAGCTGGCAAACCTCACCTGATCCTGGCCAGTAGTTCTCAGCAGCCTGTCATATATCAATGGAAACAAGGGAACAACTTCATCAATCCAACTGATATTCCAGATATGGAAGATGTTTATGCTGTAAAGCACTTTACAGTGAAAGAGGATACTTATATTTGCCTAACAAGATTCATTGGTGATTCCAAAGTAATGAAATGGGGAGGAACAAAATTTTTGGATTTACAAAGGATGCCATCAAGGGGATCAATGGTATTCCAGCCTCTTCGGATAAAGAATTATCAGTATGCTATTCTTGGAAGTGATTATTCTTTTACTCAAGTCTATTTCTGGGAGGCAGGCAAGGGCAAGTTTGTGAAATTTCAAGAATTAAATATACAAGCTCCAAGATCTTTCACACATGTTTTTGTTGACAAACAAGATTTTCTCTTTGCATCAAGTTTTAAAGGGAATACAGTGATTTATAAACATATCATAGTTGACTTAAGTGTGTGACACACACACACACACACACACACACACATGCACACACACACACAGAGTGTGGAGTCTGTTGTGAGACTTCCTCTGTCCGTAACTAGGACATAATGAACTAAATGCATGACAATGATTTTCTTTACTTGCAGTTCTGCGGAATGCCTTTAACAGTTGAGATTGCTAGAATCAAGTACAAGTATTTTCATCCATAAATGTCAAGTCTAGTACTGTTGGAAATTTCATCTTTTAAAAAGAAAGACAAATTAAAATATTTAACTATTATTTGAAATCATTATGTAAATATGTAGTTGAACTCCATCTGTCTTAGGGTGGGGAGTGGGGGGAAGCTGATAAGATGTAATTTTCCATTATGCACCTATCTGGAAACAGCCAAATAAAATGTTTACATTTTCTTTCATATTCCAAATAGTATTATTTAAATGAATCATTTGTGTATATTTTTGTTCTACTTCTTTTTCTAAACAGTATGAAGGCTCAGAAGTAGAGTGCCGTGAACATAACATTGTACTTGGGGCATAAACATTTACCTTCCTGCTCATAATGTGCATGGCATACTTTTGAGGTACAATAGAGCAAGAAAGTCTTATTCATGGATCCATGGAAATTGAGGGAATTTCCTTAGGTAGCTTCCAATTATAGCCAAGACTTGCATATCAGCAGAGCACAATCCAGTAGCATTTATGATGTTTTGCTTAAAACAATTCCTTTCATATCCATGCGGGGTGGGAAAGTAAGTTCAAAGTGACTGTCCTCATTAGAAAACATCCACATGGAATCAATTCAGAAATATCAGCTTGGTATAAAACTAGTTAAACATTTATCATTGGTCCTCTCAAGCCATGTTAAGTAATACTTTATGCAAGGTTAAAGATGGCTTTGGTGATTTACCTTTGTCAATATAATACGTTTCTATTATAAGATACAATAATAATGTAACATAATATAACTTATTATTGTAAGTTCTATCACCTCAAAAAGGCACATTCAGATATGGTAAATGATGTAATGTTCATTTTACTCTCTAGTGTAGTACATCGACAAGACACAATCTTTTAAATGGCAAAATAGCAGGGAGCTATTTTAAAATATAATGAATTACTATTGTGGAAGATATTGGGACATAATTTGTATCTCTCTATTTACCTTGCTGGTAAGCACATTTTTAAATCAAGATGCTGATGAAAATGATAAATGCAAAAATAATAAATATAGAATGCTATGAACTGTTGCAGACTGTGTAGAGCATAGCGCTAAAGATGAAGATACTAAAACTAAATGCCAACCACCACTGGAATGTCTGATGCATTCTGAATTAAAGCACTGATATACAAAAGAATCTATGCTAATTACTAGAAAGGTCGCATTAGCCACCTGCTAATGCTTACCAGATGTGTTGTCCCAAAGCACTTTCACTGTGACAAAACTTTTCAGGGAATTACACTTCAGAGGCGATCTGCTCAGTTTCTGATACAGAATCAATGCAAACATATTCCAAAGTGAGTATTCCTAGCATAACATTGCAGGCATTGCAGGGCCTCCCAGGATTCCTTCTCACCACTGTGTTTTATGTCATAAGAAGATTTAAAACTGGATACAGGAGGATGCACAACAATAAATCTGAATCATAAAATGATTTGGGTGTGGGTAGGTTCGGTGTCAATAGAGAAATATCTCACTGTTGAATTGCTCTGATTTCAAAGATGAAGGCATACCCAGAGACATACTAAAAATTGGTAAGAAGTTAAATATAGTATTTTTGCTTGTTCCTTAATGTATCTTTTACAACAAGTATGGGCAACCTGCATCCCCAAGGCTGCAGTAGAAGAGAAAGCAAGAAGCAGGGGTGGGGTGGGGTGGGGTGGGGTGGCAGGAAGAATGAGGAAAGTGCTGGCTAATGGAGAATGAAAAAGGGAGTTACTAAAAAAGAAAATGGGGGAACCCACTCTCTTTTGGCTCTGTTCCAACCCAGCACTAACTTTAGCCCCAAATCCTGCCAACATGTGGCTTTTGCCCTCAACAGAATAGGCTGCCCATTCCAGAATATCAATGTGAAGCAATCATCTTTCCCCATACTTTCTCTAATTTTATCAATATGCAGTTGTGTCACACATCTATTCACCTTAGCTGAGAAGGATTTGAACAGCAATTTTTATCAAGCTTCTTGCAGGATTGGGCCAAACTTTATTTTCTGGAATGTAGCATGCAGGTGATTAGTTACTACTAAAATTATAAAGAATTTCATAAATTTATCAAATCTGCATGAAAAATGTCCCATCTCAGTATTGTCTCTCTTTCAATAGCAGGGAATCTCAAAAGAAAAGCAAGCACAAATTTGCGTGTATGTATGTATTTCATTCCACTTCTATTCTGCTCCATAACCAAAAGGTTCTCTTGGTGGCTTACAAATGCGGAAAACAGCATACAGTACAATAACTAAAACAGAAAAAATAGATAAAAGCAGTAAAATAATAGATTACAACCATCTCATGATAATATGATAAAACCACATACTACACGATAAATGCAACCAATAAATTAACAACCAAAAATTAAATATTCATTCATTCATTTTATTACAAGCATTTATATCCCGTCCTTCCACCAAGCGCTCAGGAGAGCTTACACAATATAAAATTACAATGTAAAACCTCAATTATTTAAACAGTGTAAAACAACACATCATGAACTTAAAAGAAAAAAGAGAAAAAGAATAGAAAATGTGACTGTGGAGAGAGGAAAAATAAAAATAAAAATAAAATAAAATCTTAAAACATCTAAAAGTCTTGATTATTAAAATGATGGTTAAATAAAAGATTAAATAATTGACAACAAAATATAAATTATAAATTAAATACATTAAATTAACCAAACGGTTGTTTGAACAAAAGGGGTTTCACCTGGCATCTAAAGGAAAGAGTTGAAGCCAGCTGTATGTCCCTGGAAGTGAATTCCAAAATCTGGGCACTACTGCAGAAAATGCCCGCCTCCTAGCCCTTTCCCCCTTGATCTCACTAGTGGGAGAGCATTCAGGGGAGGAGTTCAGAGAAGGATCTAAGAGTGTGGGTAGGAATATATGAAGAGAGGCACTCCCTCAGGTAACCTGGTCCCAGCAGTTTTCAGGTTATATATGTCAAAGACAACACTTTGAATTGGGTCCAGACTGGAATAGGGAACCAATGCAGCTGATGAAGGACTGGCATAAAGTGTACTTGCTGGCCACTCCTCATAAGCAGCTGCACCATTCTGCTCTGTATTAGTTGTAGTGTCCAGACCATTTTCAAAGGTAGCCCCACATAGAGCACATTACAGTAATCCAGGCAAGAGGTTACCAGCACATGGATCCATTCATCCAAGTAGGAACATTGCTGAAAGATTAGCCAAAGCTAAAGAAAGGTGCTCCTGGCCACTGGGAGAGCTCAGGGTCCAGGAGCACCCCTAAGCTATGAACCTTATCCTTTAAGGGGAGTGCAACCCCATCCAGGGTAGGTTGAAAATGTCCTAGTTCGAGTGTGGAAGTGTCCACCAACAGAGCATCTGTATTGTCTGGTTTCAGCTTCAGTTTATTGGCTCTCATCCACCCCATTACTGAGTTCAGGCACCAGGCTAGGTCACCCACCACCTCACCTGGGTCATATGAAAAAGTGAGGTAGGGCTGGGTGTCATCAGCATACTAATGACACCTTAGCCCACACCTCTGGATGACTTCACTCAGTGGTTTTATGTAGATGTTAAAAAGCAATTCAGACAAAATGGAACCCTGCAGAACCCCAATGCGTAATTGCCACAGCAGAGTAACCGCTCCCAAGCACCATCATCTGGAACTGGTCAGCCAAGTAGGAGTGGAACCACCACAAGGTGTTGCCCCCTACTGGGTGGATTTAATGGTTGATGATATCGAAAGCCACAGAAAGGTCCCAGAGAATCAAAAGGGTCGCACTCCCGTCTTCTCTCCTGACAAAGTTCATCCTGCAAGGTGACCAAGGCAGTGTCTGTTCTGAACCTAGGCTGAAAACCTGATTGAAAGGGGTCTAGATAATCAGATTCCTCCAAAAGTGCCTGAAGCTGCCTACTCGATCATCCACTCTATCACCTTGTCCAGGACCAAGCAGCATTCATAATAAAGGTATTGCCCAACTGTAGAATCTGGGCTTATATTTCTCATGGGCCAGCTTGTCTACCTTTGTGTTTGGTTGTCTGCTTTTTAAATGACTGAAGTAATCAATCCCCAGATTCCTTTCTAGATCTAGATACTGGAACAACATTTAAGGTGGATAAGGCAGGTTGCAGCTCTTACCACATTTACTACGGATGACATTCCAATCCTACATTCTTTAAATGTTAACCATTTAAAATTTATGATTTATTTTATGTTTTTAAATCACTGTAAACCACCTGGACAGCTTCAACAACTGGGTGGTATAAAAATGTAATAAATAAATAACCCATGAGACAGTCCCATTGAAGCCATTATGACTAATTTCTGAGTAAACATTTTTTAGGATTGAACAGCAGTTTTGATGCAATCATGAACATGTCCATTCCATATTTGTCCATTCACAGATTTTTTTTCTATGTCACCAAACGTTCTGCTACCCCACATAATCTCAGCTATGTTTTTCCACCTTCTCTTCTATAGCCATGGTCAGGGGCTGACTCAAGAAATTTAGCTGCCTGAGGCAGAGCAGCAAATGATGCTTCATTCCTCACCCTTACCCGTCAAGGTACCTAGTAGTACTCAAAGCCAGTCAAGAGATTTTGGCCCCTCAGGCAGAAAATCCTACATGTACCTCCCCTTCCCTGGCCATGAAATGTTATCACAATTAAATAATGAATAAGTTGCAGCCTATTTATGGCATCAAAAATTAGCTGCCTCAGGCTCTAAGGTTTCTCTATGCATCTTTTTAAAGGACTCTTTCTCCTAAGGATGCTCTTATTTGTAAAGAGCAAGGACAGGAAGAGGAGGGCGTTTGATTAATACCCCCCATCCCAAACTTCAA